CTGTTCTGGAATTTTGGGGGAGATGAACAGTAACATTCGTAACGGAACTTCAAAAAAACTGACGGAAAGGGTAACGTGAGACAGTTTTTTGCACGTTGGGGGGTACTTTGAGACGTTTTCCACCACAGGTGGTAATCTGAGATAAGTTGGAAAGCACAGGGGGCATGTACATAATTAAGCCTTTTAACTAATGTAGAATGTTGTCAATGATGGATGAACATATTTGTGACTCAAAATTTTAATTTTAATATATATTTTTTTAAGATGGCAACCCTAAATTGAACATTGTAAGCAAAATAAAAAGTAGCGAAGGTTGGTTTGGTTCCACATAACCGAACAAAATGGAGGGGAAGTGAGAGTGACTCATAGAAAAAAATACAGTACCAAAAAACATCCATGTGTTTGGCTGAGATTTGAGAGATCCAACACCAGAATAACTTGAAAGAAAGAAAAAGACAGATGGATGCCCAAACATAAAATAAAGATTCAAGGCCACGATCACACTCAAACTCTCATTACCTCATTGACGGATTGATATGAACTCAGGTTTTCGAACCTGATTTCGTTTCTCTCCTTTCTTGTTTATTTATTTGAGACGAGGAACAGCTGAACGAGTACCAGATGGGTTGTACATTCTCTGGTTTGAACGCTCTCTACGATGCCGTTAACGGGGGAGGTGACGTGTGGATCAATGAGACTCGGTTCAAGATCGTGAGGCAGCTCGGGGAAGGTGGGTTCGCCTATGTGTTTTTAGTCAAGGAGGTGGTCTCTGACTCCTCTGCCTCTGGTGGTGGTGGTGGTCTCGCTAAGAAATTCAAGGACCCCTCTCATGTATCAGGTGTGATTTATCTCTCCTTCACCTTGATTCAATTTCTGGGCTTTTGTTCATTTTCGTTACGCTTATGGGATTTTGGGATCTGGGTGGTTTGTATATGAGTCCTGTAATGGTTGTATTTGGTTTAGTATTTGTATGGAAGTGATCTGCTTTGAATTTTGTGATCTGGGTGCACTGATGCGAATTGAAATGGTTAAAGTTTGAATCTTTGAGCCCAGGTATGGTTTTTTGCTTTGGGAATTAGTGATCTGGGTCTTTTGAGCATGAATTTGAAATGATTGTTTTTGGTTCTCTCAGCTGGGAAACAATAGTGATTTTGCCATTGAATTTCTAAATTGAGTTTAAATTGTGACTCATTTGTTCCAACTTCAATCTTCGAATGGTTCCAGGTGGTAGCATGCATTAATTGTTAGGTGATATGAATGTTTGATCTATGAATCTATGGCATTGTTTTGATATTTTGGTATCTTAGAATGCGGGGACCTTGGCCAAGTAGTTCAATGAATAGTGTTTTTGAGATTTGGCCTTCATGCTCTTATCTGTTGTGCATTCTTGATGCTCCAGTGACTGGTTGGTCAGTTTGCAACTCAACTTCGGAAATGATTTCAGCTTGCTTTTACTCTATTCTTTTGTAGATGATGGAACTTATGCTATGAAAAAAGTTCTCATTCAGAATAGTGAGCAGTTGGAGTTGGTGAAGGAGGAGATCCGAGTTTCATCACTGTTCAGTCATCCTAATCTGCTTCCACTTCTTGATCATGCCATTATTTCCGTTAAGGTTAAGATCTGGAATACTTAATTTAATACGGCTCATAGCTTACTTTAGGTGTTTTCTTCTCATACAATTTGACTTTTAATAGCCTGTCAAATTTTTTATTGTTTTCACTTTTCTGTGCAATTGATTCGTTTATAATATTCTGTTTGATTGACAGCCTACACAAGAAGCATCTTGGAACCATGAAGCATACTTGTTATTTCCAGTTCATCTGGACGGAACATTATTGGACAATGCCAAGACTATGAAGACCAAAAAGGAGTTCTTTTCGACCTCAGATGTTCTTCAAATATTTCGGCAGGTGAATGGAGATTTCATCCCCTTTTTTTTCCCATTTAATTTGACATTTATCTTTTGAAAAGAAGGGTCACTTTTCCATATTTGAAAAGCAGTATAACAGGGGCTACCGTTATAGTGCTTACTGTAGACAACCATACAGCATTTTAACTTCTTATTAAGCAATGTATATAAGCTGAAGATAAGCCTGCAACGATGCTACCAAGTTCTGGTGTACATGTTCCTGTTGCTTTACCCACAATGATTTATTTTCTAGGATTAGTAGTGCTAGAAGCATCAAAAGCATTTTAACTTAGAAAAATCAATGCAATAGATTTGTGCAGGACTCAAGCATATGCACAGTTTTGATCCCCCATATGCGCATAATGATATCAAACCTGGAAACGTTCTGATAACTCATAGAAAGGGACAACCACCTCTTGCTATATTGATGGATTTTGGCAGTGCTCGACCCGCAAGGAGGCAAATTCGCTCTCGTTCAGAGGCACTTCAGTTGCAGGTATATATATTTTTAAATCAATCTCTATTCTCTACATACACTGTTGTATTTTCTGGAATAAATGCAAAGTTTTTCAGTATGCTTAATGCATGCCTACAAGCTGATGTCTCTTTGGTTCATTAAATTAGTTTAGTGTCTTAAAAGAAGGCACCTTGTGCTTTAATTACACCTTTTGTAAAGGTGCTCAACCAATATATGGGGATTAGCATGAGGTTTGGGTCTTCTCTTGTCTGCTAACTTTTAGAAGAAAAAACAATTGAAGGGATGGTTTTTCTTGCTTGTTATGTAGGAATGGGCGTCTGAGCACTGTTCAGCACCATTTCGAGCTCCAGAGTTGTGGGATTGCCCAAGCCATGCAGATATTGACGAAAGAACTGATATATGGTCCTTAGGATGCACTTTGTATGCAATACTGTGAGTACTGAACCTTCTTTCTCGCAGTTACTTTTATAGTTCTGAAGTTTGAGCATCATATTGATCGTATACCTTCTGTCTTCCAAATTTTGATAAAATCTGCTATACCTTATTTCTTGCACTTAATGCCTTATTTTTATTTGAAGGTATGGAGTATCTCCATTTGAATATGCACTTGGAGAATCTGGAGGAAGCCTACAATTGGCAATAGTCAATGTGCAGATAAAGTGGCCAGCTGGTCCTAAGCCTCCATATCCAGATGCTCTTCACCAGTTTATTACATGGATGCTTCAGCCGCAGGCTGCAGTCCGTCCTCGCATTGATGATATCATAATACATGTGGACAAGTTGATCTCCAAGTTCTCTCAGTGAGATAATATAGAAGGAAAGAAAGTATGAAATGAACTTTCTTTGCTCATTTCAGCAAAGCTTCTAAAAGTCAGCCATCATGCCTCTTCTTTTCTACTTCAGAGTCAATAGGGCAATTGAATTGATAGCAGTTCCCTCTCCAGTATTACACATTACATTACATTTTGCAGTAGGTTTGGCAGTTTGTGCATTGGTTGAATGTTGATGTACTCTTCTGTCTCAACTATTTAATTTTGAATTTGTAATTTGTGAAACTGTGCTTCTCGCCTGGAGTGAATTCTTTTGAATAGTTAAAATACAATAATTGCGATTCATTAAAAGAGCTTGTGAGGTTAGTATTATTAGTTTAACAAGCCATTACAAAGCAGTTCTTTTGGTCCATAGAAATTGAAGAGTTTTTTTTTTCCTTTAATCTCGTTGTCTTATGAAGAGAACCGCCAAAGAAAAGACGACAACAACAACCAAGTCGCTGACTCCAAATTCTTCAAGAGAATGACAAACGATTGAAGTTTCTTATTCTTCTGATTGTCTGTTGTAACTTGTAAGGGGTCATGTGGATCTTATATAAAGGGCAATAGGGTGTAAATGAGATTCAGACAGGCTCCGTAAAACTACAATCCGCTCAAACAATAAACTAGTGTGGTGTTTTATGCTTGCCAAAGTTTGGAGGACCATAAATAAAGTCCTTCTGCCTCATTCCACCTCTTCACTCAACTGTGTTACCGATATGAACAACACACACATTTGCCCAAACTCAATGCCTTGTTATAAACCACGATCGTTTATACAATCACTGCCTGCAAGGCTGCGTGTGAATATGAAATTATGGACAAACAGCTTTACTTGCCTGCTTAAAGGACATTACATAATGGATCTCATAAAAAGCCCTCAAAAGCTGGTAAGAACTGTTTCAGTATGATATTATGAATACATCCTCACTTTCAGATATTATCCTTTTTTGCTGTCAATCGTTATGTTCGTCGTCACCTTCAGAATCTGCAGTGCACAACAAAGCTAGTGTAAGTGGGGAAGAAACATATGATGTCAGTTAATTAAAAAACAAACGACCCTAAACCCTCAAATCATTTTTTTTTTTCAGGTCGTTCATTCAAATGTATATGTCCAACTTATAAAACCATCAATGAATATCTCGTTACCAGATCGAACATCATCATCAATTTTCCCTCTTGCACGAATTTGCTTCACGAGCATCCGAACCATCAACATCCACCAATAAATATGACAAATGAGCAAGCAAAGTAAAAGAGTATTAAACAAGTAATAATATATAGATCCATCCACCAGGTGCTTCTCCTTGTCCAAGGTCAAAAGAGCCTCGTAGCTGCCAAAAATAAATGGAAGCAAAAATCCACTTTAGTATACTATTTCTTGTAAAGCAATAGAAGGAAGAGAGCAAAATGATAAGAAACGGGATAAGACACTAGGCAAGTAGTTTATACACTAGTTAAGAATGTATAGCTATAAAAGAGGAAGGTGCTACTTATTTTCATTCTGCTTATTCCACTATATTCTATCTGCACAAAAAATAAATTATCTCAACACATTTAACTAACCTGGTACTCCAAATTATCCAAAATGGAAAATAAATAAGACGCAGTACTGTCCAAGAAAGAACAAAACTAACAAAAGCAAAGCCGGCCATCAGTTCATAGCCACAATATTTTGACAACTTTGCAATCTCTAAGAACACATCGCATCCTTCATGGAGGGCTAAAATAATCGAGCCAACACGAGAAAACCTGCAGGGGTGAGAAAACATATATTTAAGACACAAGAACAAAATAGAAGAAACCTTTGTTTGAGAATCATGAGCATGAACTATGAACACTAAGAAGCAAGCTGAAACATCTTAAAACTTACTTGAATATGTAAGAAGACACAAGTAAAACCGTAGTTGCTATATGATGAGCCATTGACACCAAAAAGTCAGAACGCCTTGTTTCCCAGAACACCAAAGCAAAGCTGGAGTAGATGTAGAATCCGGCGGAATACATGTACAGTGCCTTCAATTTTAATCTGCCAATGAGGGAAAATATCGGTAATTATGTCAGGCCAGAAGATATGAAAAAAGCAATTGTTTGCATAACAAAGTTACACATATGATCAGACATCAAATAAAACAAGTCTACTACTTGATTTTGACATTGAACAATGATTTCCAAAATGAGTGAGGAACGAACTTAGTTTTCTGGTCAGGCCAAACCTGATCGCCTGGCCCTACCCAGAAGTATTTGGTTTTAGAGAACCAAGGCTCGTTGTGAGTAACAGAAAGGGCCAAAAGCTCCGCAGAGAAAAAATAAACACATTTAAATGCTGACTCTTTGAATTTATTAATTTTCTTCCGTTGATGGCGTGTCTCAACATTCAGCATTGCATGCTGCTTTCCCAACATAAGGCGTCTTGCTAATCCCTGCAAAAAAGATGATACAACTTAAATTGATTGAGACCACTGTTTTGCAGTCTACCAAAGTATACGTACTCACAAACCATTATAACATATAGATCAACATTACATCAAAGTAGAGCTTCAGATGCTGAAATTTGCATTCCTCATAGTTGATGCGATGAGAAATTAATCGCCCTTTTTTTTTTTTTTCCAACAGAAGAAGTTTTCATAGCTTAATATTCCCAATGACAACTAAGTTGGGCATGATAATTGTTCTTGCACAAAATTGAAACATGGGATTATTGCATACATTTGGTCATTTTAACAGTAAACTTGTCTGCCTTCAGAGGCACACCAGAGAGAGAGCACAGAATCGATTAGATGCAGGACAGGTAAAGTTTCTCTGTAACCAAATATATGACTCTCATGAATGAAACTACAAGAACATAAAAACCAACTAAAGCAGAGTGAAACAGACCACAAATTTAACTCTTAGCTCTTAATAATACAGCAGAGAGTTTTCCATGGAGGTCAAATGATACCCGATTTCTATACAACCAATATCTACCGATTATATTAACGTCAAATGAAATAACAGGAAAACCCCACAAACAATTATAGAGTATGCAACTAGTTCCACTCTATAATGAAACTGAATTATGTATAACAAATTGAAGAACTCCAAGAGTGGTACCTCAAAGACATAAATGTCCAGGAAGAGCCTGAGAGAAGGGAAGAGAAGAACAAACAAAGGAAGGACCAAAAAGTCTTTGGGCACTGGGTACGACTCTTCCTCCCAGTTGAGTCTGAGGTTGACCCAACCACTGATTCCAAACAGACCCAAATCCTCCATCTTGACGAACCAAACTCACTCCAAGGATTTGGAGAGGATGGAAGATCAGTAATGTCGGCTGAACAAGGTGCTGTTTGGTGGAATAATTATGCACAAACGGCGATTCACTTTTGAAAAGCGCAAAACATAATCCCACGCTTCAACCGTTTTTTGTTTTTGATTATTTTTCCGTTATCGTAATCGGGTCATGCAGTTCTAGATAACCCTCGTACTGGGTTAGGTTGGATTTTGGGTTACCCGATTCGAAGCCCCGTTTGTTTATTATTATTATTATTATTGCATCATTAGTATTTTAATTCTATTTTTATTATTCAATCTTTTAAAAGTTAGGACTCTTTTATGCTAGATTATTCCACAAATTGTAAGAAATCAACTATCAAAATTCCAAAGTGTTTTATGTGAATGTTTATTTGATCTGTTTTCTCCATACGAAGAGAATGAAGAACCTAACATTTGACCAAATAAACCTAACATTTTATCAAACTATAAATAACAATATAAAATAATATATTAAAAAAAACAAAACAAAAAGGAGGACTGGGGTCCTCATTAAATAAGTAGCAGAAGAAAATTAGATACTAGAGAATAAGAGACATGGAATGGTCAATGAGTTCCCCCTCCCCCATGGCACCCAGGTTAGAAATCTCTTGGGATTTCTTTCCTCCAATGTAACTAGAAAAAATTGAATAAGAGACATTCATTGGCAGAGCTAGCTTCCATTTCATGGAGGACCATCCATATAGATTTCTTACTTATGGTCAACAATGTAGATGTTTTAGTACTTTTCTAATAATTATAGAAGTTTGATATAAATTTTACCTGAAATGATAGAGGTTGGGGTAGTCTATGGCCACTTTGGATTGAAGTGTGGCTCGGTGCTCCTTGTACATATGTATGTGTATATACGTATATATGTCTTTAGTTTTATATCATCATCATTCATAAAAAATGAAGTAGATAGCGGCCAACAGTAGGAGTGGGCATCACTCCGGCTGAACCGATGAAATCAGCCGAACTTAATCATAATTACTGGTTTGGTTTGGTTTTGACCAAGAAAAAGTCGAAGGGTTTAAAAACCGAATCGGACCATATATGATTTGGTTTTGAGCTTTTATAAACCGGTCTAAACCAAATCGGACCGTTTATGTGTATATTTATTTATTTATATTTTACTTTACATGTGTAATACACTAATTAGTTAATTACTATATATGAATATTTGAATTGAGCTATATTAGTTAGTGAAATATAAAGTTTTATGACATTTTGAGCTTTAGGATGGTTTCGTACTCTAGAAAATGAATTATGTATGAAGCAAGCTGTGAATTTGTTGGGCTAACAATGTTGAAAAAATGCAAAAAGAAAGAGAATTGAGCTTAGGTCCAAACTGGTCGAATCAAACCGTCTTAAATTAGTTTGGTTTGGTTCGGTTTCCTTTATAACTTTTATTCAAACCAAACTGAACCAAACTACCATATTGTAATTGGCTCGGCTATGGTTTTGAGGTGAAACCGATCCAATCCGGATTATGCCCACCCTTAGCCAACAAAGTCTAGCCTACTGAAAAAATGTCTTGATTTGTAGATCAGATGTTTTAAGTTCAAACCCCCATGGCATATTGACAGTGTGTGAGGAAATTTCCTACCTCCAATATCACTAGTATAATTTTTTAGATAGCGATAAAGGCTATGGGCTTAGATTTTTGCGACTTGGTCCTGTTTCAGTAACAGTTCAAGTGGCCCAAATTAATTGTACAGTGTGTACCCATTTAACAAGGCCCTGGGGCATGGCTCGTAATTGTTAAAGTAGAGTTGGCTACTACTGTTTTTCCTTTTTTCCCTTTTTTTAATGAGGAAATGAAAATTACAAAGCGAAACTCCTAAGATAAGAAAGTCCAAAGAGATCAAAATAAAAAAGAGAACAAATTGACAAAGGGAATCCAAGCTCCCAAATAACCTGCGATGAGAGCCAGTGGCCCAGATTGACAACCACGTTTGCAGTGAAGTTTGTCACTCTAAACACATGCTAAAAGCGAATAGAACTGTTTTTCTTGTTGGATA